CCGGGGCCGCTCGGGTTTGTTTTCTGAAATAAATAAGCGAGGGAAGGTGCCGGGAGCGGAGCCCCGCCGGGAGCAGCGCGGACCCCCCCCCTCCACCCCCGGGGGTGCGGGGAGCTTCCCCGCTCATCCCACGCCAGACCGGGCTGAAATGGTTAAAAAGACCTGCCCGCACCGAGGTGCGTGCTTTCCACAAGTGGTTGCCCACGCAGGATGGGGAAGAATCGGCGTAAAAGCGTTTTGGAGCAAGGTTTCTAAATTAAATTATTTTTTATAATTTTTTTTTTCTTACAAAGAGCAAAAAAACCCAACCAACCGAGCGCGGAGAGACTTAGGGAAAAGGGAGAACAGGCGTTTGAACCGGCATTAGGGTTTTTTTCCCCCGTGATTTATGAAAAATGTAACAGGTTCGGGAAGAAATAGCTTTTAAAAATGACTTTCTGTTTATTATTTCCACCGCTTGCGATCATTTACTCTCGTCCACACAATATTCAGGCACAGTCAGTTTAGGCGAGATAAATCGTCACGTCATAAAATGGTTTATGCTTAAGTAATGAATCTCTTCTTACTCAATCTCGCTTCGCATACACAGGCTCTTACATTATCTTATTTAAAAACCACCTCGTAACAGTAGCAATTAGTACTATATTTCAACCCCTCCCCCCTGGAAATCTTGGAAAAAAAAAACACATTTAAAATGACGGGTGTCTCCGGACAAATATTTTCCTGAACCCGAAGGCAAGCGTTAGGGAATCGGGGAGGGAGAGGGGAGGGAGCTTTGCAGGGAGCCCGGGGTGGAAGAGCACCGGCACACGGCGGGGCTGGCCCCCACGCCGGGATTCCGGCCGGGAAAGCCGTAAAGCCCCGTTAACACTGCAGAACGCAATTAAATACAAGGTTTATGGCATCGCAACGTCAGCTTCATTTGGGAGTTTCGGGAGGGGGAAAAAAAAAAATACAATGAGAGCGCTGCGCTCTGGGTTGGCTTCATTCTTATTATCTTTTTTTTTTTTTTTTTCTTTTTTTTTTTTTTTCCCCCCCCTTTTTTTTTTTTTAAAAAAAAAAATAAAAAATGTGACCTGCCTATAAGCCTACTACCCGGCAAAAGCCACAGAGAAAAGAGAACTAATTTCCAGAACCTTATTTCCGAGGACTGCCGCGAACTGCCCTCTCCGAAGAAACCACCCACATAATAATGACCCTGGAGAGCAACGCAAAACCCAACTGGCTTCCACACAAACTTCGCCGAATTACTGGGCTCGCCTGAAGACAGGCAAACTGGCAAGAGATTCTGCGAGGGGGAAAAAATAAAACACGACAACTACCCACAACGGGTTTGGTATTTTTTTAAAGGCAGTCTCTAAAAGCCTCCGTCACCGAGCTACTGCAAAATCCTTCATTCCAAGTCTACTATCTCCAGGTGACCTTACAGGCTTTATTTTTCCTTCTTATTCCGTTATTTTATTTTTCTTTCACCTTCTCATTTCCTTTCTTATTTTCTTCCCCTGTTTCTTTCTCCCTCTCTTTCTTTCTCGCTTTCTTACATTTTTTCTATTTTCCTTCTCTATTTCTTTCTTTCCTCCTCTCAATTTCTTTCTTTACCTTTTTTCCATTCTCCTTTCTCTCCCCTTCCTCTCCCCTTCTCACCTTTACGCTACACTTTTTCGGGGAAATTGTCACTTCAACAGATTTCCACCACCCCTGATTTCTTCCAGTGTCTCCTTCTTCATCACCCCACCCTTTTCTTTCTCTTCCCCTCCCCGGGTAGAGGGGAGAGGGAGAAGGGGAATGGAACAGAAAAGGCAGCTTGACAAATGCATTTTCTCAAAGAAAAAATTAAATTAAGAGAAGCAGATATTATTCCCTTACCTTTTGACGTCCATTTCTGTGGTATAAGTAAAATATATAGGGAGAGAGAGACAGCGTTTGCTTATCTGTTAGCTGACAAATATTGTCCCAACCTGATAGCCGTCGATTGCCTCTCTGACTTGTGAGAGCTTCTTGCATTTCTGTCATTTGCATAGAAAATGGAGTAACTTCCCTCTGTGAAAAATGATAGCCTCCACTCGGTCCAGAATCTCCTCTGCCCCTCCATTACTACTGAGATTCCAAATCAGCAGGCAAATTAACAGAGGAATTAAAAAAAAAAAATTAAAAAAAAAGATATAACTCTCTTGCTATGTGTGTGTGCGGAGGTGGGTGTCTGGGTGTGCGGGTGGATGTGTGTATAGGCGTCCCCCCTCCCCTCTCCCCTGTTTTAGCCCTATCGAGCTTATACACAAAAGTAAAAAAATGTAAAGAGGCGAGAGCCCTATAGAGGACACTGATCCGACCCAAGGTGCAGCGGACAGAAGAATGGTGCAATATAACCACATGGGAAATAATAAAAAGTTCATGTTCACGGTTAGCAGTCCACATGACCGGCTCTGGCCAATCCCAGAACCCAGCCACTCATAAAGTTCTATCACAAAGTTGTAAATTTTCATAAAACAACAAGGAATTTATTGCATTTCTTCATGACCGGTTTAACAGCAGTCTTTTTCTTAGCCGCCATCTTTTTTTTAAACAAAAATAAAAGAATATGAAAGCGGGTTCAGGGATTTTTCCCCCCCCCCCCTCCTTGGTTGCAAGCGGGGGGGTGTTGGAGAGAAATAATCGAATAACGCCTCGCACGTTAGGCTCCGGACACTAACGGCCCCCCCGGAATAAGGAGCTTGGGGCTGGGGTTGGCTTTTAAATGGGGAAAGACACAGTAAAACAGTGGGGTTCGGGTGGGATTTTTGATGTCTTTTTTTGACGCAATCGGGATCCTTTCTGCTGAAAGGGGCAATCAGCAGATTTCGGGGGCGGGGGGGGGAAGAGACAAATAAAGGCAATAAAAGCCTGGCCGGGGTGCCCATGCCCCGTTGGGGGGGGGTGTGCTCCGGCAAGGTGGGTCACCCCGCCGCTAAACCGCTGCCCTGGCTTCAGCGCATTAAAGCCTCGGTGTGCCTCGCTTTGCCTTTTTTTTCCATGGAATTCTCCTCAATTCCTGCTCGCCCCGCGACCGCAGAGGTCCGTGCCAGGGGGGCAACCAGCCGGGCCACTGCGGTCCAGCAGCGGGGGGGGAAATTTCTGGAAGCGCTGCTTTTTTTGTTTTGTTTTGTTTTCCCCCTCCATCCCCGCTATGCACAGAGCGCTCCCGCAAAGAGATTGCACCAAGGGGGTTCACCAAGGAAAAAGGAAGATTTCCCTCTATTTTCCTTTCCCTTCAAGTGGGAATTTCAGTCTGCAAAAGCCGTAATAGCTGCTGCCTTTAATAATGGGCTTCCCATAATTAGTCCGTGCAGCATATACCGCAAATCTGTGTTAGGGACGTGGGCGCGCAGATGCTTGACGTGGCACCTTATTTTCGCTAAAACCTGCTGAAGGATGCGCTGCGCTTAGGACATGCGGTCCTCCAGGGCGGTGGGTGGTGAAGCAGCAGCGAGCCAGAGAGGGAAGGAAGGGGAGAAGGTGGAGAGCTGCCATCGCCAAGTCCTTCCAAAGCTGGCTCGGTTTTTTTTTTGTTTTTTTTCTTTTTTTTCCCCTTCTCCCTGTGCATCTTGCGCAACGCATTTGTGGAGTAAATTACGTGGAGCCTCCGCGGGAGGAATCCGCGGTTTTACTGCGCCCCCGCGCAAGTGCCTAAATTTACTCGCCTTTTGTTTTGCATTGTTGATTTTTTCCTGCGTTTAATTGCTTTAATTTATTTTATGCGTGCTTTGATGCTAAACATTATTTGGTGCTAATGAAAGAGTTCCAGTCCGCGGTAAAGTAATTGAAGGGCGGAGGGAGAATCTTAAAAAAATATATATACTAAAGGCAGGGCAAAATAGGTTGGTTTTCTGCAAATTAGTTACAAGAAGAAGAGAATTAAAACAAGGGGCGGAAAGACTATTTGGGCTGTTTCTGGCTTCTTTGCATTCCTCCTTTATGCTCTTACCTCCTTCAGCAATAGCCCCAGCGCAATCGCAGAGGGAGAGAGAGGAGACCGGCCCGCATTTCGGGAGCCCCGAAGAGCACTGATACCTTAGTGCATTCCCCAAAGCTACTAAAAGGCACTAAAATTTTGAAAGGAGTGAGTTTCCTAAAAAAAGAGAGAGGTCCAGGATGATAGGTCGGGGCACGTGTTCATCTAAAAGGACCTTCTAGTATATTTATTTTACATGAGAAAAAGCAATTCCAAAAGCCCGTGTGTTATTTTTAAAAGGGGAAGGAACCCAACGCGATGGTAGGTTACTGGAGATTTCCTTTTTATTTCGAAGAATAATAATCACAGACAAGGGGGGAGAAAAAAAAAAAGCAACGCGTCGCCATTAAATAATTTGCTACTTTGATATACAACATTTTACGTAGCACAATATTAATTTCTCTTCTTTTTTTTTCGTAGAGACTTGAACAAGGAAGAAATGCAGGTAAAAATATACACAGACAAAAGAGCATAGCAAGGAGAAAAGAACGACAGAGGTTACAGGGAGAAGGCGTGATAATCATTCATATTATGTACAGGACTATATATGCTAAGTATAATTTGCATTCAGAGCTTCAGGTCACATTTTCTAAATTAAAGGTGCTAAACACGACCACGTTACTTCATACCAAAAAGTACACAGCGAAGTACAAACGGAGATTTACAAATTACTTGTACTATAGGAAGACTCACATAGAAAAATGTGTCTATTCTGACTCTAAAGCCACATTTAATAGGTAGATATTAATTCTATTGTACAAAAAAAAAAAAAAAAAAAAAAGACTTTAATATAGGTAGTATTTTTTCAGTGTCAGGAAACACAATGTATCATTCCTAGGGTTTTTAATTATTTATGCACTTATCATTTATCTATTTTAATATATAGTCTTTTTTTCCGTGTGTTTTCCCCCCCTTTTCTTCTCGCGTGGGTTTCCACATTTCCTGCATCCACCTCTCGCCCCTTTCATTCCTCCTCCTCATCCTCCACGTCTGGTTTTTCCTGGCTGTTGGAGCCGGAGCAGGCAGTTTTATTTTCTTTTTTCCACTTCATGCGCCTGTTCTGGAACCAGATTTTGATCTGCCTCTCTGTGAGACACAGGGCGTGGGCGATCTCGATGCGTCTCCTCCTCGTCAGGTAGCGGTTGTAGTGGAACTCCTTCTCCAGCTCCAGGGTCTGGTACCTGGTGTAGGTCTGGCGGCCGCGTTTTCTGTCGGTGCCTGGGAAAGAAATGCAGATTTTAGATCAGCCGGGGGGTTAGGGGAGATGTTTTGGGGTTGCTGCTGCTTTGGTTTGCTCTCTTGCTTTTGTCTTCGGGCGCAGCCCAGCGAGCGCCCATCCACCGCAGTCCCACGGGGGGGACAAAATCCTCGGAGGAACCGTGCAACCTGGGACAGCCCTTGGTTTTATTTGCAAGATCAACTCATTCTGCTCGAGGCTTTCCCCACCTCGCCCTCCCTGTTCTCAGCCCCCCAACCACCCCAGCTTTAATTTCCCTTCATCCAGGAAAAGCGAGCAGTGCTTTTTGTGTGTGTGTCTGTGTGTGCGCCTGTGCGCGTCTCCGAGCGCACAACCAACTTCAGAAAGTTTCCTGCCCTCCTAGCAGGGCTCAGACTCTGAGCTCCGGCTTTAATTTTTATTTAGACACCAGAAATTTCGGATGGTTGGGGAATAAATACAGAAATGCGGTCGAGCGAGAGCGGGAGAGGCATCTGCTACCTACACAAATCCAACTATTTGTCCTCTCTTAAAGCTGTCATCAGGGCGCCTGCTTGGAAGGTGCGTGATGGGCTTCGGTATTTCAAGGGGATGTTTTGGGCACAGCAGTGGCTTCTGGGGCTGACAGGGGGGCTGCTCCCCCCGGCTGCGCTTCTGGGGGTGTCCGCACATGAGCAGGGCCTCAGCCCTCACCCCAGGCTCCCCCCACCCTCCCGCTGCCTGCGAGCGGGCTTTGGGAAGGGCCCAGCTCCGCCGTCTCCCTTCCACCCGGTATTTCCTGCAGTCCGCTTGGAAATAGTTCTACAATATGGTGTTTGTGATCCTGACTCTATTTTCTGTGTAAATGCTATGTAGATCTATAGTGTAATGTGTTCTTTCCCAGAGCGGTGGGGATGGCGAACAGCAGCCCTCGGCCTCTCCTCCACACATTCCACCGGACTCCTCTTCTTCCCTTTTTTTCCCCCCCCCCCCCTTTCTTTTTAAAAGAAGAAAAGATCCAGTCATTAAAAGGAGAAAAAAAAGAAGCAAAATAGCCAGGCTAGCTGTAAAGTAAAAATGTGCAGGTCGTGGAATGTGGGTTGTAAAATCCGCTGAGGGGAGAGCCATAAACTGCTGCTGAATAGGGATGACAACTCTATCTCTGCTCGCTGATGAAATTCCACAAGCGCGATCGCACAGTGGGCATGGGGCACGGGGGGGAGGCAGGGGGGACCCCGCTTTTATGACCGAGGTCGACTTTTTCTGGGTTTAGGCTCAGCAGATCCCAGAGTATCCAGGGTTTTTTTGAGCGCAGGACCCGTTTCCCTGCTTCCAGACCCTCTCTAATGTTGATCCTCGCAGCGTCACAGGCTAAAAAGGGGGCGAGTGGGGGGGCTTCTTAAATCTAAAGTCAGATAAAAGCAGAGGTGAAGTGTTTACGACCAGAAATATTTGGTCTTTGATAAATCAACTGTAAAAGTGAATGAATTATGGAGCAGGTAATGGAAAGAACTGACCACCAAATAAGTGTGAGGGTAACTCCTGCCTTTATAAGCCGCTATGCGTTGGCTGCTCCGCTGTTTTCTTTTCCCTCTGCTTGGCAGGGAGGCTGGCCCGCACTCCCCTCGCCCCCAGGGTTACTCACAGGACCCTGCCCGGGTCCCTGGCCGCGGAGGGAGGCTGGCTCGCAGGGATGCTCTCCCGTTGCAGCCTGGCACGGCAGAGCCGAAGCCGGGGCGGCTGGAAAACCGGCTTCCGCCTTCCCCTCCGCTCCCAGCCGGGACGGCAGAGCCTCTCTCCCCCCTTCTCAGGATTACACGGGTGTAAACACCACCACGCGTGCACACGGACACCGGCCGGGCTGCTCCGAGCCGGGGGAGCCGGGCCCGGAGC